AACGTAAGACGTAACGTAAGACGTAACGTAAGACGTAACGTAAGACGTACCATAAGACGTACCACAAGACGTAACGTAAGACGTAACGTAAGACGTAACGTAAGACGTAACGTAAGACGTAACGTAAGACGTAACGTAAGACGTAACGTAAGACGTAACGTAACACGTAACGTAAGACGTAACGTAAGACGTAACGTAAGACGTAACGTAACGTGGGTGTGGAGCTGCTCAACAGGTGGTGTTGAACCATGACGTTCCTGCCCCCCCGCGCGCCCCAACTGTCTGGCAGAAACGGGTCCGTTTAAAAAAAACAAATGGTCATGCCTATGGCCCAACGTCTAACTCGGCCTGGTTACTACCGCGACGCCTTTCGAGCGTCCCGCCCGTCGTCGTCACGCTCGTTCGTCCGCCGTGCGGTAGAGCGCGCCACCGCGCCACCTTGCTGCTGCAACCCCCGACGACGTAATTTTTTTCATATACTTGAAGAACGGATCTAAAATGAGGTTTTGTACGTGTTCATGCTGTTTCAGCCTCTTACTGCTATTTTCAAGGTGCCATGTCGAAGACATGATGTAATAACGACGCAACACCACGTTTCAGTGTTGTTGATTTCTGAACTCACTCGGGGTTATTAACCGGAAGTGTGTTCCCCCTCCACTTCACCCGGCCTCTGTCCCGCACTCCTTGCTCTGCAGTTGAGCATTTCCTCCGGCCCGGCTCCTCCATTTCCATAGGCTTAGTGTAGATCGCCGGCAAGCTGAGAGATTTGCTTGGTTCTTCGTCTCTACAAATATAAAATTGAAAAATGGCTGTTACTGAGAAGAGGCAACTTGACGAGACAGTCTACAGCACCAAACATATCGTACTGGACATCGAAGGAACCACCACATCTATAAGTTTCGTGAAGGTATAACATCTCACCGGTTGGGGTAGACTCGACTAGAGCATTCGAACAATGGGCGTCCTCGTGGCTTACAAACTTTTACAGCTTGGACCAACATATGTTACTCGGTTTATGCTATATTTCTTCATTCACCGACTTTGCGCCTTACTTAGAGAAACTATTAAAGTATTCGTTTTTACTGAAGGCCTATTATGAAGGGAAACTGACTCTGACCCTGACAGGTCTTGGCAAGTTAAGATGCTATCTTCTTAATTTCGTGGCTTTTTCCTCCCCCGGCTGATTCGTGTAGTGTGTAGTGGGTTTTACTTGCTATCACGGCTCAATGGGAGTTCTTTGAATGGACTAATTCTGCTCTTTAGCGAACTATTACTTTCGCGTTAGCTTGATAGTCTGGATGGGTAACATGGTGGAACCGGCCTTCTCTTTGTTCTCTGTCGGGGCCCAGTTTGCTAGGAACGCAGATAGGACATTTTACAACAAAGTGTTTTCTTATTATGGGCCACTTAAATGTAAACATGGTGTATTACTGCTCCAATTATGTGGTTATTTTTCCTGAAAAAGGCTACACTGTTAAAGTGTTAAGAGACATCCTACTTGCTACTGGAAAGTTTTATATTGTGTGTTTTTGTCTCCCTTTTTATTAGGCAATTAATGAATATCTATTTTTTTCTCATTGGGCCTTAATTTGCCTCAAGTTTCAGTTCTCCATTTATATTTGAGAATGTTATTCTCCTGTTGTGTATGCGTTTCCATTGTAAACTACAGGCTCCTCACACCCTGACCTGTCTTGTTTTTTGGTAGGACACACTATTTCCCTATGTGCGAAAGAACCTAGATGGATACATCAACTCTCATTGGACTGAAGAAGAGTTCAAAGATGTACTCGCTTTGCTCAAAAATCAGGTAACATTATAAAATTTGAAATGTTTATCTCAGGACTACCCAACGGTCAATTGTCTTTATTAAAAGTTAGCCTCTTCTCTCTATGATACAGTTGGACACAATTTTTGGCCAACCTCATTGCTTACAGCTTTGGTGTGATTAACTGCATATTTTTATTCCACCAAGTCTAGTTGTGAGAGTTGGATGAAGTGATTGTAGCCTAACTCTTGCATGTTTTTTGTTATTTTGACAGTACTTAAAGTCTTGCCATAATTTTTGATCTTTTCTTGATAGAGGCATGCTTTATTCTACTGTCTCTTGGTTTTCTCAATCTGGAACTTTCCTGCATTTATCTTATAAATCATATATTGAGCGTCAGTCTCATTCCTTAACATTAAATTATATTTCAGGCTGCTGAAGATGTAAAGGCTGCAATGGAAGGTGCCATTGAGATACCTTCAGACGGCTCTGATGATGATGTGAAAGCTGCTATCGCGAAAAGTGTCCTCTGGCAAATGGACTCTGATAGGAAGACCACTGCATTGAAAAAGCTGCAGGGGCAAATGTGGCGTCAAGGTTACAAGACTGGAGAACTGAAGGGGCAGTAAGTATTTGTACCTTGGATGCTGTGTTGGTTAGAGTCATGACTTATAATTTGACCTCTTTCTTTCAAGCGTTTTTGCTGATGTTGCTCCATCCCTTAAAGAATGGGTGAAGGATGGAAGGAAACTGTATGTCTATTCATCAGGAAGCGTTGAGGCGCAAAAACTTCTGTTTGGGAACTCTACAGAGGGTGACTTGACTGAGGTAATGACTTTCTTTGTGTATTTCTTCTTATGGGGTTGGTCATATGTTAACATTAGTTAATACAATTTTGTTTTCAGCTTTTTACTGACTTCTTTGATACTGAAGTTGGTGCCAAGGTAGATGTGGAAAGCTACAAATCCATTGTCAAGAAACTGGACTGTAAGGCAGATGATGTTCTGTTTTTGACTGACTTGCCCAAAGGTAAACATGTATGCATGAATAGAATTTGTTCATTAGTCCATTGGCTAACCAGGTTTTTCTTAGTTCTCGTATTTTGTTCGTATGATTATGGTGGTTGTGGCACTGGAATAGCTATGAACTTTTTCTGTAGGGACCTATTCTGTGGGGTAAAATAATTCATTTTGCACCATGGCATCATCATAGCACCCATCTTTAGAACTCATCCTTACAGTGGATTCTGGTATTGCTAAATGCTAAAGAAATTTTGCTCATTCACATGACTTCAGCATGCACAGAATATGAAGACAACACTGTTTATTCCAATATCTAATTGTTGTATACCACCAAAAGCTTATGAAAATTGGGAAACAGCAGTAGCATTTGAAGCTGTGTTGTGTTTCTCTTTGACTAATTGCCTTGCTTTGCAGTAGGCCGTGCATCTAACTATGACCAATGTCCTATCAATTAGACCCACCCCTTGCATGCAAACTGTAGAATATTTACTCTCTGTGATGGTTGTTAGTCGAACGTTCCTCACTAATGGGAGATGTAATGATCTAAATGCCTGTCAGTTTTCATTTCCCTAACTCCTCCTGTGTAACGTAATCGCACTGTAGTTGCGCTATTGTATTCTTATTTCTGTACTGTCACTGCTACATTGACCATGTTGGTTTCTTCTCTTACATGGCATTTATCATTTGTTTGGCAGACTGCAATTTGATGTCTCCTGTGGGTGATAACCCTGTAGAATGCCATCATAGTGTTCTATACCACTCATCAATTGTGTCCTTTTTGTTTTGTGTGTGTAGAGGCCAGTGCTGCTCGTGAAGCTGGCTTACCTGTGATCCTAGTGGAACGAGAAGGAAACGAAGCCATCGCCAATGAACTTCGTAAGGAATTTTCAGCTGTTTCCTCCTTCCAAGAACTTGCGTTTGAATCCTCAAGCAAGAAGCAGAAGGTTGAAGGTGATAGTAATGTTGGCAAAGTAGAAGATAACAAGACTGCTGATGCAAGTGTTATGGAGGTGGATCCAGCTGAGAAACCTGAAGAGAAGACTGAAGCTAAAGATGTAGAGGCTGAGCCAATGGATGTTGATAAACAAGATGTAGAACCAGTCAAAGAAGCTGAAACTGCAGCAGAGAACAAAATAGAAGTCAAAATTGAAGAAAATGGCAGCTCTGTGGTTGATCGAAAGGAAGAGATTGAAGTTAAAAAAGCTGAAGTTACAGAGACTAAGCCTGATACTGAAGTTAAAGAGATGTCTGACATTTCTGTCAAGGAAGCAGAGCCATCAGAAAGTGTCAAAGCCGAGGAAAAGATCTCTGAAGTCAAGAAAGATGCAACACCTGAAACTGTGGAGAAGGAAAAAGTGACAGAGAAGACTGATGTAGTAGTCCCTGATGAGAAGACTGAAGAACAAGACACAGAAAAAGTAGAGACTGAATCTGGAAATGCAGAGCCCAAAGAAGATACCAAGACTGAAGACAACAAAAGTGAGCCTGAAACAGTTAAGGAGGTAGAAGAATCACAAGTGGAGAAGAAAGAAGACACAGTCAAAGAAACGGTTGAAGTCAAGAATGAGACTGAAAAAGAAATTGCTGCTGATGTAGACACAAAGAAAGAGGACGACTCAGATAAGGTGTCAGTTAAAGAAATTCCTGAAGAGAAAGAAGTTATTGAAACTGAGACTAAAGAAATTGCTCCAGAGACTGAGGTGAGCAAGGAAACAAATGAGACTGAAGATACTAAGTCTGTTAAAGCTGAAGAAAAGACAGCTTCTGTTGAGTCTGAAACAAAGGTTGAAGCTGAACAGAAGGGTGATTTGGAGGACAAAGAGAAGGTTAATGGAACCTCGAATGGAACTTCCAACGGAACTTCTAACGGAACCACTAATGGAAATTCTAATGGAACTGCAAATGGAGCTAAGGAGGCTGACACAAATGGCACTGTTGAAAATGGGCACAGCAAGCTTGAGAAGGAAGGTATTCCTGAAGTGATTGTTGCCAAGAACACTACTCAAATTGAGAATGGTAGCGCTGATGCTGCTGTGGTAGTTGAAGCTTAGGATTTTTTTTCTAATTCTTTTATATTGTATCAGTTCCTTCTTGTCT